TTAAGAAAATGTTCACATTTAAATGACCCGTAGGTGATCAATCAAACAAACACTGTTGAGTGTCTTGAACACTGAAACACTTGAAACACTGTTGAATGAACAGGCTTGTCTCCGTTTGGAGTCCAGAATAGTGATGGAAACTGTCAGAATTCGGTGTTTCCAAGTAAGTATCCAAACCGCGGTTGGTAGATCAGAAACACATCTCGAAACAATCGTACTCTTGTGGCTGTTACACAGGTACAGCCCACATTTTAGAAATTGTCCCAATAAATACTTCAGTCTAGATATATAACGATCAAGCTTGCCCTACTCATGTACCCAGCAAGGACAGAGAACAAAACCATTCTGGAAAGCTCCATTCGCTGGTGTTGACTGCTGTTTAAATCTGGCCACGACAGCACTTGACCCTGTTTTACTAGAAATTCAACCAGTTTCTTCCGACCACTAACATTCATTACACATAACAAAATGTAGACACACGAGACTTGAGCTGCTGAAAAATTGCTGGACATAAAGGGATAGTTAGCTTTTAGAAAGTAGAAACAACAAGTGGTGTTCACAGTTTGTAGTCATCTATTTATGCATAGATCTAAATATGAAACAGATGAGTTGTTTAACTTGTCGCCTTTGTTTCCAGTTCATAATCAGGTGGGTAAATCAGTGGAAGGGTATTTTCAAATATTTGTATAATCCTAAAAAGGTCAGTAAATAATGTAGGACGCCATGAAATAACATTGTAAAGATAATCGTAAATGAAATCATTTGACAATGAGATCATTGACACATTTCTCGCAGAGCACGCACTGGCGACTCACACATTTTTCACAGACTACAAAGAGGCCTGGTTTATTTTTCAAATATAATCACAAAATATAATAAGTCTGACAGTGGGCATGTAATTTAAGTTAAAAAAGTAGAGATGTGTGTTACGTTGGACAACATACTCGAAAGGTTCTGACGGTTCGCGCCGCCGATTCCTTTTCACTAAGCGACAATAACTTGTATGTTCTTGTTAACATACCAAACATCCAATGATAATGTCAAAATACATGAAGATAAATTCGGAGTGACCCTGCAGAAACCAACTCTGTGTCCTTGCTCTATTCTTTTTGAAACGAAAAAGAAAGACGTGGTTGTGTTGGTCGGATAAGAGTACAATCCATATATCTTGCACGTATCGACAAGCACGCCACTGTCAAAACGATTTACGTTCGGATCGCCAGTATTCCGAGTCCAACCCTAGTGGATAACGCTGACATTTTCAAGATAATCACACTTATTCTCGTCTTTTCACAACACACGCGTGGCAGGCTCTTCTTCGTAAGCCTATGTTATAGGATTTTCTTGACAGCAATTTCCGAGCTCATTTCTTGCTAAGATATGTAACATTTTCCAAAAACGCTGATAATGATTCTAGAATCCTTTGCTGTTGTCCGCGCTTCCAGTCGCATTGCGCCTAGTTCCGGCGCCTTGGAAATGCTTGTGGGTAATTTGGTACTGTTATTGACAGAGCTTTACACGTGATCACTACATGATCAATGTGCGTCAAAGGTAGCTTAGGCATTCGTGACGTCTAACATTTCCAACTGTGTATTTACCACGTGCGTATACACGCCGATGTCATCACTTTGAGTGCCTACATGTTAAAATCCATAAATAGGATATATATTGATTACGATCAGGTATGATACAATCATGGTGTTCGATAACAAGGTATAGAAGCCCTCAAGTGGTCGTCATAAGGATTTTGACTTATAGAGCACGGCAGTCATCTTACGAGTTCCATGGGTCATTGATTAGGCCAGGTATGATCCTTTGTCTTTAAGCAGAATACAGATGTTTGCGGTAAACATGCAAGGCATACAACACTTCAGGCTTGCCTTCCATAGTAAAGCTGAAACTGACACTCCATAATGTAACTGAAATAATGCTCAAATCAGCGTTAAATCCGAACCTTCTCACTTGTTCAATACAAGCAGACAAGTCGTCTTAAGAGCAACATATCAGACCAAGAAAACTGTCTATGTCATGAACATTTAGTATATTTGGGTTTATTGTCTTTCTGAAGCTGACACTCCATAATCTAAATATTAGACTGCTCAAATCAGCGTTAGGCCAGGTTCACAGTGCCGATTATGCCTCCAGTTTGAGATCAGACAGCGCTACGACACGAAATGTGAAAAAGTCAGATTACTATCCTCAATGATCTGGAATGTCCTATCATTGTCTGAACGCAGTCATATACGTCCTACGGATCGGGAAAGGTCCAGAGAGGTCGGCCAAGCACTCCCGACAGTATGGTGCGTCCCATAACATTCGGGAAACTAAGCTGATTTTGTCTAGTCGGATTACAATCGTGACTATGTCGTGACAGATTCTGCAGTATCGTTTCTAAATCGTAACAATGTCTGGACGCTACCCTGTGGATCGGGACGCTGTCGTGGTGAACGGGCATGAACTGTTCATTGCCGTTTCTTGTCGATTGAGTCCAGGTTGCGTTCAGATCTTGCCGAATGCGAACCGTCTTTGTCGGTTCAATGTCCGGTCACTGTTTGATCTCTGTCGGATCGCATTCGGGAGAATCGGGACGCGGTCGGGACAGATTCGGTCGTTTTTTACCATGCGGAAGATACAAATAGGATCAGATTCGGTTTGAGAACGGGAGAATCGGGACGAATTCGGCTGGAAACTCCTGAATCGAGACGCTTCCTGAACAATATCTGATTGTTTGTGAATTTCCCGCCACGAATCACAAGATCTTGATCAGACTTTTGACAAATCTTAATGGGGAATGGTCATATCAAGGACGCTAGTAAAAATCCTGAATGTGTGACTAAGCCCTTTAACCCGAACCTATGTCGGGCATAAGTTTCAGACATTTCAGACCTACTGTGTTTATCATGTATATTAAGTATATTTGGGTTCATTTTGTTTAACTGGACACATTAAGTTATGAACGTTCATTGAGTTTCACTGACTTTGTAGGAAGATACAGTGATTTGCAGAACAACATTTTGTAATCAAAATGTCACCTGTAGGAACTGAAAACGCAAACTTTTTCTCCTTGAACCCACCCGGGGAATACATACATGTAGTTAATTAAATTTCGTGTCAAACGAGAGTGTTTGGATAATCAAAGCATACTATAACGCCTAATAGGTTAGATTGGATTGTATACTCCCCAGGGAGATTAGATAAATTCCGAGTGCACACTGATCAATTTAAAATATGTGAGCTTGCTGCAATAGATGGATTTGGCGAATTACCAAAATTCACATTGTAGCTATATTATACCCTGAATAATTTGCCTCAACTTGATAACTGTGTCGTCATCCGTTATATTTCCGTTTCAACTTATGACCTTCAACAGCCCGTAACAAAATGCCACCAGTTCTGACGTCCACAATACATATGAGGATTTGGTTTCTGCCATCGATCCTTAAAAACATGAACTCTTTAATCTTCTCCTTACGTCATGTCCAATTTCCTTTCCTCTAACGTTTTGAGTCTCTGCTTACTACACTAGGCCTACCAATTTCAAGTATTCACTGATACTGCTCAGCACAGCCAGACGTTCACTTCCCTGGATACCCCCATGTCGCCACAGAAGATATGTACGGTTCCATAGATAAAACACTTCATACGATTTAAGTAACCCAACAACATGGATCAAATGATTAGTGACGCTTTGCTGGAATAGACCGGACATAATCCGCCACAAGGCAGAAAAAAAGTTGCATGGCCTTCAAAAACCCAACATGATATATTTCTCAGGAACATCTTTGAAACGGTTCCTGTAACCCGCTAGGCGCCATTAGGGATCAGATGAATAGCACGTTGGAAATATGCTTTAATGTTATAAAATAGTTTCGTTTATCATAATCTTTTGAAATTTCATATAAATACTGATTGTGACAACACGCTACATGTCGCTCACTCAAAGAGGAACGATATGCACACTGTGCAAGAACTAAACGTCGATACATCCTCGAATCACAATTCTATAGCTTTCAACTTTAAAGACATGGTTCGTATGATGATGCAAACAGAGTTTGTCGCTTTAAGTTAAGTGTGATTCAAAACAGAATATTTAAATGTCACGGTTCGGGCATGAAAGGTTAGGAAACTTTAAAAATGGAGTCATATTAAGAACTTTAAATGTGGGCTTTCATGATGTTTTTCTTTGGGGGGAGGGGGGGCGGGGTTATAAAATGGATCAATATGAATCGATAGTGAACATTGATTGAACTACACAGAAACATCAAAGATGCCATTCAATCATGCTCTCTATTCATGAGTCCATGTTTGTGACTCACCGCTTTGTATCCTATTTGGAATTAAATATTCATATCTGAGTATATGGACGGTTAATAACTGTCAAATTGGTAAGTACAGCTCGTGATTCGAGCACATTTTGTAGAACAATATTGCTCCAATGATACAAGAATAGCACGACATATCGCTTCCGACATGATGTAAATAAAAGCGACAAGATCATTTCCATATGCATAAGGAATCTCTTAAAGCAGGATCGATTGTACGATTTCGACTATGTCATTTCTTTATCCAGTCAGTGTATCTTACATGCTTTGTCAAAAAGCAAGTTGCCAGTAACTTATGACTTAATTATAATTAGGTAACACAGGTGTGCAATTTTGCAGAATTGCGATTTTTAGGCATGCCAGAAATAATGATTGTGGGTTCGAATCCCAGATTTGCCCTGATTTTGCATCTAGGTTTTTCAGCACCATACCCTTGCTCGTGTGTTTCACAGATGTGGTAAACGTATAAGAACTGTATCAATTCTGGCTTTAGCTGATACGCCGTGATATAACTGAAATAATGTTCAAAACGGCATCAAAAAGAAATCACTCTCAAAATCACAAGTCACAAAAAACAACAACCATTTATTGATGTTTAATGTCCACACAACAGATGAGTTTTGCGTTACCCCCAACATGTATTTGCTGCACATAACTGACGCCAGTAAGACATTAAACTCATTCTCAATATATTTTATTCATGAAGAAGTAAAACAAATGCCGACTGCAATCATTCATACGTATTACATATCTGAACATACAAAACGTCAGCACTTTAAACAATAGCTCCTCGAACAAGTTCCTTTTGAATTGCCATATGCATACCTCTTATTATAGATGCATGTATACAATATATGTGCTTGTAAACTGCAATCTGCAATCTCAGTACTGGAATCTCCTTGATAAAAAAACCATTTCAGTGAAATATGAATTGTTTAGATGTGAATCCCCATGATAAAAACATTTGAATGAAATAAGAATTGGTTAGATCTGAATCCCAAAGATAAAAACATTTGAATGAAAAAAGAATTGGTTAGATGTGATACTAGCAGTGCAATATAAACACAAGACGATAAACACAAGGACGTCCCTTCGGCTTGCACTCGTTTTACATGCTAATTTTGTCAGGTCCCATATATCTCAATGGCCCCTACTGGGATGCAATGTTTTACAACATTTTGTTGTAACTGTTGCAGCGTTTTTCTAAAAATTAACACATCAAAAACAGCAAGAATGGTTGAAAGATACGCACAATAGCTTTACAGTCCCTTAGTGTCCCCATTCCATCTTTGTAGAGAAATTACAAAATAAAAATGCCCATCCAGACCGGCGTCTTACTGTCTGAAAATGAAATCGTGCACCAAGAGTGACAATGAGAGATGAGATGGTGTATTACCTAACAGCCTATAAAGTCATACAGTGAACAAATACTTTACTATGGAACTAAACAACTTTTTATCAGTTACGCAGGCAGTTCTATATTTGACGGCCTTGGAGAAGCAATTATATATACTCATTTGTTGACAACCGACATTTACTGTTCATATGAGCATAACTGGTATGTGCATTTATTAAGTATTCTGTGAAAATACAACATTTACTTGAAAATATAAAATTGACATTCCAATCGAAAAATACTTTATGCCGGACCTACTTTCAACCTGGTTCAGGGTCAGTGAGTGAGTGAGTGAGTGAGTATGGTTTTACGCCGCTTTTAGCACTGTTCCTGCTTCGCACATTGTACCCAGGTGGGGCTTTAACCCGGTCTTCGGCGTGACGAGGGAACTCTTTAACCATTAGGCTTCCCACCACGTGCCCTGTCGCATCGCGACGATACATAAGAAAAAACAAACTACGGAGAACATTTGTCTTTTGCTTTAAAGGACAGATGTATCTCATCTCGTGACCTGACAAAATTGATATTTTCAGAGAAAAGACAAATATGTTCCATATTAATATGTGAAATGATAAATATTCTCTTTGTTTCAAATCATACATGCACATATCCTTGTATGGTCATATGGATAGTGAAGTACAAGCAGTCGGATAAATCTAACTCGGTTGATGTCACTTTGATATATCCGAGGCTGAAATTTTCATCAATCACAGATCCTTTATGTATGAACTTCTACTCATAAAACAATGTTATGACGTATTAGCAACATCTGCCGGTCTAGGGTATGTAATAAATACGAAATAATAATATAGGAAATACTTTTTGTCAATGTCCCGGGCACACCATAAGTCAACACAGACCTGTATCCAGCAATCGTCTCCATTTTGCCCCGTTGCAAGTTAGAATCGGTGTACACTATGCTTCTTGTAAGAGTCGACAAACTGGATAAGGTGGTCAGGCTCGCTGACTTTGTTGATGCATGTCATCGTATCCAAGTTGCCTAGATCCACGGTCATGATGTCAAACACTTGATTGTTTAGTCCGGATCCGATTATTTCCAAACTGCCATCATGTAGCTGGATGAAACAACGAACAAACAGACGTCTTCAGTTTTAGCTGATTTACGTGTAGGCCCTTGACAGCTCGTACAGTGTAAAGAAATGACTATAACGTTTCCATTTTAACCTTACAATTCCAATGATGAAAGTCACAAGTTGTTCCGCACACTTTGTGAGTCAGAACACTGGTCCTTGGAATATAGTGTAACATCCAATTTCGCATCATGTGGAACAATGGTGGCACTGACATACTGCTTAAGCGATTACACTCCAGTTTCCAATATTGCCGTCTTTGACAAACGCTCAGCATCAAGGATTTCCCAGCGTGCTCTATTCGCAAGGACCCCGTCCACCATCTCTTGAAACACCGGGTCCATCTTAGCCAGGTGCTGGAATTGATTGATGACAGAAATATCGCATGAAATGTCTACATGAAAAACCGACATCCTACACAGTTTACAAGAAAGAATAACTAAATATAAGTGTGACGTCGGTTTTAGTAACGTTTTTGCAATCATACGACACCAAAAGTGTTGTGAAATTAATGAGTGAATGCTTTAAAAGCGACAAAACATTTCCATAATCATGAGAAAATCTCTGTGAAAAGCAGAGTCTGTTGTACGATTCCGACTATATCATGAGCATGTATTTATGAATCACTATCATAAGAGTCATGATACCAGGTGTTGCAGTAACAACAAGCAATTAAATCCATCAAATATTGACTACATATTTTACGTTTTAACAAACCCAACTTCCCTACATAAATATACCATGCACGAACATAATGGCTTCATCTTCATCTCCTCTGTAAATAATTAGTGTTCATACATCCGATAATACATTCATAATTGGATGGCGTTACAATAGAAGTTAGGTTTTGATCATGAATTTTTGAAAATGAACTTTAAATAATTGATAATAACGAGAGGTTATGCTACTTGCAGTTTGATTAAATTGTTAAGAAGTTTTATGACACTCGTTTAAATAAATTCATAATTGGATGGCCCGCCGTGATATTGCTGGAATATTGCTTAAAGCGGCATTAAACCATACTCACTCACTCATAATTGGATGGCGTTCAAAACAAAAGTTTTTAATTACTCATTTTCGATAATAAAGTTTAAATAATTGGTTTTGTAGACGTTTAAAGACATTTGTTGAAATTTATCAAACCCAATTTGCATGACCAATACCTTATAAAGGGGAAGGCATATTCCATCAATCCATCCCAGCTGAAGCTTGGCAATCTCATCTTGTTTTTCTCTGTCCATACATGCCTTAAATATAGAATAAGTTGAACATGGCTCTCATGGTAAGGAAGTGCTTTACCTTAACCGTGCGGTTCCTTGAGTTATTGATTCATAGTTAACAAGGAACGTCAACAAAAACTAACTGAATGAGTACTCAGAAATCATCCATACAGTCTTAAAAACATCTCTATATCATCTAGTTAATGGAAAGGACATGTATCCTGAGAGAAAGTATTTTTCTCATTCACGAAATGGAATAAATGGTATTAGAAATATACGATTAATGAATATTCTCGCTATGTTCCGCCGAATTTGATTAATATCCATCAAAACGTTTTTGTTCTAACGCCCATGCCATGTGTCGTCAATGTATATGCAGAGTAAATATATATGACATTTTTCACTCATATATGACTAACATGCACGTGTTCGTGTGTGTCTGTTCGTACTAGTCCGGACTTATGTCGGTTTTGAATTGCTAACCGACAGAGATACCACGCCGGACCTGAACATGGATACCCCACTCAGACAATAATGCCGAGTGCAAGGCAGGGAAACAACAAGTAACATTTTTATGACGTGACGTAGGATCGATCCGCCGACTTTCCGCTTTCCGGGTAGACGTTCTTTCCACAGAGGCGGTTATTCCTGTGTGACGTTTTTGTAGAATAATTGTATCAGTTATTTTGTACGATGTCGTCACTCTATTCCGATCTGGCGTCATTGCATATGGTGTGTCTTTATATCATCGCCTGGACTTAAACAACAACACCAAGCAAAGATTAAGGGATCTATCAGTGAATAAAACTGTAAATTAAATAATCTAGTCATCCAATGCTCTACCGGTTACATAGAATATTCATTCTACCTGTGGTTGTATTTTCAGTTCATTCCGTTCCTTGTCTCCTTGGTCAAAGAATTCTGTCATCACCAGTTCTGCATTCTATTTGAAAAAAATAATATGAGTTATACTGACACACAAAGAAAAGGCATGTTTTATGCTCAAGTACAACTCGAAACACATCAAATCATATTGAAACGACGACATTGTTTGTTATCTCATGTTTAAATACACAGAACAACCTTTTTTTAATTTTGTGGCCATTTTGCCAAATATTACAAAATAAATCGAACATGTTTTTCAATGTGTGTCAACATATGATAACATGGTTACTTCAGCACTTCAGTAGTCGATGTCGGAAATCTAAAACAAACGATATAACATTGAAACATTATAATACCGTCATTGCAAATATTTGAAAGTCACTTGTAGAGCATGTGATAGCTTGAATACAATACCAACAAATATTTACCTTTAACATCTGTCTCAAAATTAAAAATCAAAAGACACGCACACTGTGCATGTAATTGAATAAACTAGTCGTGTATCCTGACTGTGATGACACAGTGCTCCAGTGAGGAAAATGATTCCTGTTCCGCCAGTGACATAAACCATTAGCTGAAAGTTTCCGAGAACATCAACGAAGGAATTACATCGTCCATTATTACTGACAGGGTGTTTAAAATTGAATTACAGCCTGCAGTCTGTATGTGTATGTGGCATGTCAAAGTAACCAAAACAGGATAACCTGATAATGGTTGGTTGGTTGGTTGGTTGTTTAACGCCGTACTCAGAAATCATCTAGCCACATGACGGCGGTCTGTAAATAATCGAGCCTGGACCAAGGCCAGAACCTGGACCAGTGATTGACATCATGAGCCTCGATCCACGTAGTTGGGATACGATGACATGCATCAACCAAGTCCGCGGACCTGACCACCTGATCACTACCACTCTTACGACAAGCATAGTCTCCTTTTACGGCTAGTTTGGGTTGCTAAAGATCTATTCTAAACTAGATCTTCAAGGGTCTAACCTTATTATGAGCCAACACATCCTCGTATCTTTTACGCGTCATTTCACCTAAACTAAAATAATACATTGGACTGAATGACACATTGGACAGAATGACACATTGACCTTAAATAGTTTGACATCTTGAGTACTAAGCTGAACATCAAGAAAATATGTTGTACCAGTATCTAGTGAGTTGACAGCAAAGTTCATTAAATGAATAAGTATGATTCATGCTTCAGATTCAGTGTTTTTTTTTAATGAGTAAGTAAGAAAGTTTAAAGCCGATTTGAACAGTATTCCAATTTTATCACGGCGTGTCAGTTTAGTTTTTGAGGAAAGCCCGAAGTGATGCAGGTCCAAGACGTTTACCACTTCAGTGAAACCCACGAGCAAGGTTATTGTGCTAAAGCCTTGAAACATAATCGGGGCAAACCGTGATTGAAACCAACGACAATAATGGTTCTGGTGTGGCCAAGGCACGCAACTCTGAAGACCGAATTGCGGCGCCTTTAGACGACTGGGTCACACGTATGTTCAATACTGTTTTCTTATATCCGGTTAACATTCCATTCTACTAAATTATTTAGGAAAATGTCCGCCGATGCTTATTTTCCAGCCTTACAACGGAAAGGGAATAAAGTGTCCAACGGAACCAAATGAGTTCGGAACAGTCATTGGTAACGATGAAATATGTATGAGACACAATCAATGCACTTGTACACTACATATGTCCAAGGTTGGTCTTTGCGTTAGATTTTTAGGGCGATAAGGATCATATAAATGGCCTATATGTGCCCAACACATGAACTGAATTTAAACACGATCAAAGTAATTCATGTAGATATTATTAGCCATTCTGGTTCATGGATCAATTCATAATTTTAAAGCGCAAGTGAAGACACTATATTTTTCAGTGAGTACTCATTCCACAACAAGAGCAGATCAAGCACACAGACTAAAGTTTTAAAATTGCTTAAAAGTCACTGACTGCACATATATGAATATACTGAATACAGGTCACGAACCAGGCGAAGTTAAGCAACTTTGGTCGCAAAGAGTAGTTTGGTGATCGTGTTCGGCAAATTGACTCCCGAGATCTAGAGTTTCTGGGGATTCGTTCCTGCCCTTCACTGAAGGGTCATGGCTTTGTTCGAAATATGCCTCTGTTCGCCCAGTAGTGAATGGATACCCAGTAAGGTAAGATAATAATGTGACTCTTAAGTTAAACCTTCTAGCGCCTCACAAGTATTCGCCAGGGAGCTGAGAAAGAAATCGAGCGCAGACCGGGGTTATAATGGTCTTCGCGTTTTGAGAATGCTTCAACGGATGAACTATAACTCATTACAAATATAAATGTATTTTTATTATCATGGTATGAAAGAATTTATCAAGTCAAACATGTACGTTGTAAAGACAAAATTTCTTTCTGAACCCATAGCCATTGATGCTTTCGTCAGTTTAAAATAGCGGTAAAGCAAACTTGTTATTCGATTTAACGATAATCGGTCATCGGAGTTTTGTTTTCGAGAAGAACGTGGTCACTAAGCGCTTGTCAATAGCAATTTATATCAAGTTATTGAAAACAGCTGCAGCAGGATTGGCATGGTGCCAGTCAGTTGATGTTTTTCCTCTAAGCTCTAGTGCTTTTGTTTGACGGATAGGTTTAGTGACTCAGATTTGTCATAGAGCTAACGTATTTTTAACTATTGCATCGCACTGTTATTAATGATAAAACATAAAGCCATTTCTATATACCAAAACTTTGCAAATTTACCTGGTTGGTAAAAACATGTCAAAATTACTGTCCCCAATACTCTCCTGGAAAACAATTGCCCCTCCACAGCCAGGTGGTATAATGCCTCTATGAGAATGGATAAGATATTCTAGCTCATCTTTGTCAGTGTAAAAATGCACATTTGTACGAATCATAGATAACAGCGAATAACATTTCAGTGATATATCCACTTGTATAAGAAATACCAGAAATATCTTAATTTCATCAGTGGATAGAAATGAAAGATTATTGAAATGTTTTATAAACGACTCCAAACTCTTGTCTGACCTCAAGAACTCATTTCTTGTGTTGTGGTGAATCTTAGACGTTCGACGTATGTTAGCCGTGGCACTTACAACAAATATTTTCCGGTGAAATTTTCTTTCAAGGGAAGGCCATACTGGTGGACAGATATCTGAACACCAATGGAAGATTTGTGCATTTTATGTGGAGAGCAGTGATGGTATAAATCTATTCTTCCATCATGAGATTCTACAGTGTGCCAGTGGCAGATCCGACCACTTAGGAACTATTTTCATTCATTTAATGCCCAAGGATACATCTGTCATATCAACCCAATGAACTGTAACGCTTTGTAAATGTCAAATTACTTTAGAAAGAACTATCTTCTTGGCCTTGACCGTCGTGGAGTGGTTTCTGGAGTAATGTCATGATCTCCGCTCAAGAGTAGGGCTGTCAGAACGACATGCTCAACACCACGTGTCATGACGTTATTCGTTTGTAGGTTCTTGAGTGTCCGGGGATTCTTATGAAAGCGATGTGGTCACAAATAACCAAAGGCATTGACATTTTAGAATGAAGCACTGCCCGTGTATCCTTTAATGTGACCAATATATATTATGATCCTTTGACGGCGATAATTAATAGACGTTATTGACAACTGTATAGAATTGATTGTGTTAACGGCTCCTATGATATAAATGTTATCCACTTACATCTGACATTTTAAAGCATCGATTAACAATTCATACATATTTGACTAGGTCGAGACACCTATAAATGATAATAGAACGCATACAGACTGACAGATGGTCTCGTGATCCTTTTTTTTTGTCTAGACATTATAATTAATGTTTTCTTTGGAAGTAATACTTTACCTGTTTAATGTAATGATAATATGGCATCGCGAGCTATAAAACCAAATGAAATATAAAAGTACTGCCATGGATATGCAGTAAACAGTTTACAATGTTACCAAAGACAGACACTTAAACGAAGTTGCTGACAGCATTTGTATTTAAATAATTTGTGCATAAATAATGCAGACTAAAACTAACAGTGAAATGTAATGATTTTAAAATATATGATGTGATAATAATGATAAACATGCGTGCCAAAGTTTAGCTTCCTCAGTCTCAGAGTAGCTTCCAGAAGCAATATGCCTTTTAGATATTTTAAGAGCATCATCAAAACAAGGACAATATCTACTATGCAGAAATAGAGGGGGTATTTTGTTTGGTGAAACTACAGGAAAATACGCCAATGTTTGGTGATGAAAGTAAGTGATTTATGTGGCAAGAACATTTCCGAAGAATCAACCCGCACAACATAACATTGACTCATGACCTCAGACAAGGGGGTGGTATGCCATGTTGCCATTGTCTCTCAGACACAGTTAAGAGCAGACAGATATTGTTTTCTTGGATCCCAACGCTCAAAGACACTTTATTAAACACATTTTATTATTAGGGAGCAGCGAGATTGTTCGCGAGACGTTTGCAACTACGGGCTATAGGTAAGTGGGCAGGTGTGAAGGTGGGCACACGCCAGAATAATGTTGCCCTAACATGCATGTTTCTCATATCATCAGCGGATTATGGGCCAGATGCCAACAAACACATAACGTTGATGATCGACGCCGCTCTAAACGCCGAAGGGCAACTACTCCAGCCCAGGACAGATCAGGCAGAACGATGGCATTAAGAAATCGGTTGCAAACTGCCACTCATAGATCAGATGAGGAACCGGCTGCAATAGATGACAAGGTGCATGTCCAGACATGCATCTGCACAGATCGCACTCGCGTGCACGACGTCCACGTGTCGTCCCACACCTTAATGCACGTCATTTGAATCATAGGCGTCAGTGATGTAGGAAACGTCAGCACTACAATAATCGACGTTTCATATTTTCAAATCAAATAAGAGACGACCAAATGAGCGTTTTATGGACGTTATGGGGTTCTTAATGATTTGGGGTGGTATTACATTGACTGACCGTACTGCGCTCCGTATTGAGTCATAGGCCAATACTATAGGACAACGTCATTGCATCACTCTGTCCTGACCTTTCCCCCATTTAACACGTCTGGGACGTCACTGGAAGACGTATACGTCAATGTCAAAACTAAATTAAAGTTTTTTACTGTGGCTCGAAGGGAGGCCATATTGAAAATCGGATTTAAACCTCTTTAAAAAATCGGTGTGTCATAATTGGAGGGAAACGCGTTTTAGCGTCATTCGTCCAGAAAATGTGTACGACACACGCCGAACGACGGAAGATAGACGCCGTACAAACAGGCCACGACATTATTTCATTTCACTTTCAGACACGTGAGCCAAAAACATATCACGGCTTGATGTGAGATGAAAGCCAGAAGTGATGCAGAAGGTTAGCTAGCACTTTGGTGAAATTACACACACGCGTGTGGTGCTGACTGATCTTCGACCAAAAACATATTCAGGGCAAATCTGGGATTCGTACCCACGAAGATAGGGGCGCAAAAACGAAATACGGTGCCTTAGTCGCCTGGGCAATCCATACCTGAGGAAGACATTTTTCATCTCAATAAACGTATCGATTTCCTACTGTCTAACCGTGACTGGCAGTGACGTATAGCCATTCTCATCCCTTTGTCCCCCGTACCTCATTCGACTGAGAGTCTACTGGTAAAACACATGTACCTGCCTGATTGCGTGTCACCGTAACCCAACGCCATGCGAAGTTGATCGTGCCGTCAACCACTCCTTTAACTTGCCCATACTTGATTATTTAATATACTAAAATAGCTGGAATACTACTGACGGTGGTTCAAAACAACGAGCACATATTACTGTGTGGTGTATTTTCACTCAGGTTTATCATACAATGTCGGTTTTAATAATGTGCTACGTACCCTCCTCTGAACATCCCAGGGCTTGGAGATAGCGGCGATGTCACAGCATGTCATCAGTATGCTTCGTAGTATTTCCTTGGATTCTCTGTCGTCCCAGCTTTGGTCTCCTTGGTTCACCATAGTGAAGAATTTGTCTCGCACCCTCCTATAAATCGGACACACAGTTCATCTATGATAATACTTTGAGACTGCGATATGTACATGTTATAATAATAGTACTGCCATGGTTGTAAGATGAAAGCAGCCGTATGCACGTGGCTTGGATATCAGATGACATCACTTTATTACTAAGACACTGAGAGCTGACAGTGTTTACAACATACAATAGAAGGCTTCGTTGTACCCTCATTCTGAAGAGTCCTCAAGACCATTTTGGTTTTACAATCGGAGTCAGTCATGATTTTGAATTGTGATCTTAAATCTGTTACAACGTAGAAGATTACACCAGAATGTTAATTTGATGATACATGAAGAGGAATTTTCCATTTGTGTTCATTATTTCTGTCCGTTTACGGGTTATACTGACAGTAGATAACGAGATATATTACAATGAAAGCTTGCAAAGGTTCTTAATGGTGAAAAATTCGAAAATGGACATGAGCCTTTCCTATATGTTTGAATGAGTTATGTTCCTAGTGGTGGTGTTTTTCTTAGATGCTGACATCATCTTTTTCCAATGTTCCAATCAGTGCAAAACAGAATCACCAAAGACGCTGCTCATACATTTTGAGTAATTATATAATGTTATAATTCACTGAATAAGGTTTGGCGGGGATATGAAGATTCACCCTTGTTCGTTATTTTAGCATTCCGATTATACGTACAAACTAAAAGAAAATATGTCATTCCCGTTTCCCGTTTTAGTCTTGACGGCAACACATATGAAAATGTGGGTAACGTACAGGTTTGCAACTTTTAGAAATGTCGATTCAGATTGAAAGCTATCTTGAGCTTTAATCATTATTGCGATGATCGGTATTGTGATTTTTTAAATTATTTCCCTTGCGCCGTTAATGCTTTCTTAATATGTTTCAGAGCATAGTCAAATGGGCACATCATGAGCAATATACACCAGCAGGCGGAGGTCCATTAGGCGTCGACTAGACATATGCCTCAGAGCAGACCACCTGTTTGCGTTTTCTATTATAAATTGCCTGGCTCGAAATAAGGATTGGAGGTTATCATATACTGCGACGGCGTCTCCTTTGTACGCAGAAACTGATCCGCCGCAGAGCAGTTGAATGCAGACTCATTAGGGCAGGGCGAAGAAATTTGAGCAGGAATCACTGAACGTGAAGTCTTCCTGTCAGAACTCTTCTTCTGTAAGCAAACCTTACTGAAGGTTACGTGTGTCTGGCAGTTACCATAATGACCAGTGCGTTTAGTGAATGTTATGAGGATTTGATGATGGATAGAGTATGTCATTAATTTAGATATGACGGTAACAGGGACATGATGTCCCTTCCCACATGTCCTTTTCCACCAATGGTCGTCAGCCACTGTGATCAACATCATTGTATCCAGGGTGATGGACTTTGAGGTTCAGGTTTCAGTTTATTGCCGTACAGTGCGTTGAATTAGTGTCTACCTTGTTATAGTTAATGAGCTATGCACCTGGTCATTTATAAGACACGTTCACATTAGTGATATCAAGGAACATACATGATCATAAACACACACACACACACACACACACACGTGTGTGTGTGTGTGTGTGTGTGCTTGTACTAGTCCGGACTGATGCCGATTTATAGTGCTAGCTAACTGAGATACCAAGCCGCAGTTTAACATGAATACCCCACTCAGACACAGTTAACTGACTCCGAGCCGACCAGTTCTTGTTTTAGCGCCTTAATGTCGAGCGCCAGACAGGGTAGCAACAAGAACCATCTTTTAAGGTCTTTTGGTATGACGCGGCCGGGGATCGAACCCCGGGCCTTCCGCTCTCCGGGCGGACGCCCTAACCCTAGACCACGGAGGCGGTTAAACCTATGCAAAAAGAGTGAGAGTACTTCCTATGATTGTGGAAATGTTTTCGTCGCTTTTAAAGCATTGGCTCATTACATCGACGTGTATTAATGTCATTGCATTTTGGTGCCCTCGTATTATTGCCAAAACGCCACCTTATTGAGACAGTATACTTGTATTTCCCGAGACAGTGTTTATTTAGTCTGCAACGGACGGGCTGTCAGTGTTCCACTCTCGACGGGCAATATACTCACTGTATGTGAAGGGACAGATCTGTGGCTAGAATAGCATGCTTGAGAATATTTACGACTTCACTGTATTCGTCTGAACTAAAGTTGGCAAAAATGTTGTGACCCTGAAACGAAGGAGAAAAAGTCAGGACACAAGACAATACTTTAATTATGCATTGCATTTGTGATTGAGTTGTTTGTATTTTGAGAATGTATGACATCAGTGAAGCAATGGATGTCCGTGTTTTAAGGGTGGAATTTTGATTCAAAAGACTGTTTGCTTGTCTGCTTACTTTAATCGTACGGAGTATATTTATCTCATCTATACCTAGGCAGAACATGGAGGTGCGATCGGGTAAAGCATTCACTCGTCATGCAGAAGGCCCGTTTGGGTACAATTAGGACAATAGATGAGACAATCTTCTGATGTCCATTGCTGTGATGTTGCTAATAGCGGCGTAAAACAATACTCTTTCGCTCACTGAGACTGGATGCCAGACAGCGGAAGTTAGTTTTCCGTTTAAGGTTCACACAATTCTTGATAAAATTACAAATGGTCATTTCACATTTAATTTGTAAGAATTACAAATTACCCAGTGAATCACACTTCTTGGTAATATCCGAAAGAGTCAACACCGTATGTACAAATTCATATATATATTCGAATATGATTTGATAACCCTTTGTGGATGGGGAAGAAAGAACTGACCTCGCTGTTGAGGATCATGATTGCGTGGTTGAAATGGTGGTGCTCTAACGTAGCCTTCGTTCCATACAGCTGTGCTAAGGCGGAACTGGATCTAGTTAAATATACAACAATTGCAATCATGCACCCAAACATCTTAAATTGTACATCATACATGTTATCATAATGGTTAATTTGTTTATCCTACATTCTATCAGGTTCTTTAGAAGCAAATATGCATGTCATTATGCAACTCGTTAAGTATTTTGTAATTCGAAACACATTCAAACAACAACAGAGATATATGTTATTTCGTAATGATCACCAAACCGGGGATTAGATACATATCATATTTTGATGTAAAGAAAATAGCATAATTGAAGGTCAACTTTCGATGTGTCTGATATCCAGAAATTATTGTAAACTTAATTGTTACAATGTTGCTGAGAAAGATATTAATAACTTTCTCTATGTATCATACATACATTTGAACCTCGTTGTGTCGACCTCGTAAGGACTTTGAAAAAGGTTATCAAGGGTTCGAGACATCAAGGGAATTTTATGCTTATTTGGACACAGTGGTTTCTCAAATAAGTTTGAGACAGCCGGGAATTCGACACATCCAAGTTTGACACAACGAGGTCCGACAATAACTTGCTCACAATATTAGCAAATAAATAATACTGTCCAATTTGTTCTGTCATTGAACATGAACATACTTGAAATCTACTGTCGAGGAGCAACATGTAACTAATATTATATTTATATTATAATACTTTCTTTTTAAAGTACAGATTCTCGTACTTTTGGGGTCGAGTCCCAACATGTATACTTTTAGCGTGAAGACTGTCACTTCATTGAAAAACGAGTTCAAGAATGCTGCTCGATGTCCGATGTGTTAATACAAAAGTTGAATACTTACTTCTGTTGGAAAGCATTATTCGTCCCTCTGTGGTCCAGATCGTGACAGAGACAGGCGACAATCAGAGCAAGGCATTCCTTGTCACTCAGGAACTTACGAGTGTTGCATTTCTGAGAGAAAATGTCACATGTTGTGAATACGAAGTTTAAATGTAACTATTCAGGTGACATGTGAGGTAACTGATAACGAGTAACGACACAATCGTAAACAGTTTACAGAGAACCAATAAGAGCAGTTCATTTTATCCGAAACAATTAATATCTTCTGAGAAAACGTTCCATTGGCGCAAATTCAAACCATTACCAAATAACCAGATTTTGGCGTTTTTTGTTATCACGAAAAATATTCGGTATAGTCAAAGGAGCTTTTGAAAACATATTTCATGGGGGAGAAACGAAATCAGAACATAAAAAAAGCAGTTGCAAAGACACACGGCCAATCTCTAAATCGTTACTTGGAACTTGTTTAATTGAATCCTCAACTACGTTCAAGATGGCGTGTTTATTGTCACTCTCGGAAATGTCAAGATAATCGTTGCAACACTTTAATCCGCACTCGTTGACACATTTCGTCAATATCCCAATCGCCTTTTTCCCTCGCAGTTAATACTATTGACGAAGGGATTACAAATTGTGGCACTATTTTATACCTAATTATCTTGCGTCCTCCGTCATGTGTATGGATGGAATAACATAATAGTTCATGCTTAAACTGACTCTTACTTTTATTCCTAATAATTGAGAAATTGCTTGAATAATCTATATAATGGCAGCCCATAGGATGCTACGTTATCAAACGTTTAAAATACGATTGCTCGGGACTTTTAGAATCGATCTTTGGGTTTGAAGTATACTTGAAAACTTCACAGAATGTGTCATGTTTTTTTATAAAATGAAACGTCATCGAAAGAGAATAATCAGTCTGGAACAGGTGCCCACACATATGCTATCGGTGAACAAAATGTAGATGCATGGACATATCAAACATATCAATACAATAGGGATAAATTAAAAATGTAACGATCAATAATAAAAGTGACGTCAATATTTCATGTACAGAAAATAAGTGGGAAATGTTTATTATCGTGTCATCAGTTCTAAATTGGTCGTTATTCCATATCAGATCACGAATGACTGCAGCTGGTGCTTTTTAGCTCAACACAAACTAAGAATGTTCCAATTAATATAACCTGCGTCTCATATGCCATTGACATGATGCAAAATGCATGCACTGTTCCATGTCAAATTGATGATATATGTACATGTAAGTCAAAGCCGTTGATGTCATTTAATATATAATGGCAAAGCCAATGAACGATGCAATGGCTATACCTCTGGGGATTATGAAATTTATTACTATGTCGGCACAAGATGGAACCATGTATACGAGCGGACAAAAGTAAGTGTGCTTCATTTATGGTGGTGTAAATGTTATGGTATCATATGACCACATCATATTTCGTCGTTCGTCTGACCAATGCTGTCAAAGCACAAATTCATTGTCAAAACCCATAGCTGGTAACATGCGACATGCTCTAAAAGAGGGGTGGTGTTTCGCATTGATACAGGCGAGGCAGCGTCGGTACATTCAAGACACCAGATGATTGAAAACACCCCTGGGATGTTGTTCCAAATGTACCCGTAAACCAAAGATTGACCCCACTCAGCTAGCGCAGCCGGCTGCTTCTGGTCTTGTCGTAGTCGTCGTTCCATCTCATCCCAGATATGTTCTATTCAGGAGAGGTCTGGAGAAACAGCCGGCAATGGCAATACAGCAATGTTATGATGCCTGAAGAAATCTTTTACAACACATGCAACATGTGGGCGGCAGGTATTCTGCTGCAAAGTAACGTAGCGTCTCTGTACTTGTTCAAAGGGTGCAACATGATCTCGAAGGATGTAGACATAAACAATGATGAGTTGTGTTCTCCCATGAGTTGTCATGCCACCCCATACTATTAAACTTCAACCCCTACGCGGACGACGTTACGTAACGCAAGCGTCACTGAAACGCTATCCTGGGCGTATGTATACCCTTGCAAGACCATCAGTGAGTGAGTGAGTGAGTGAGTTTGTTTTTACGCCGCTTTTAGCAATATTCCAGCAATATCACGGCGGTGGACACCAGAAATGGGCTTCACACATTGTACCCATGTCGGGAATCGAACCCGGGTCTTCGGCGAGACGAGCGAACGCTTTAACCACTAGGCTACCCGACCGCCCGCAAGACCATCAGAGATGACTCATCTGTGGACAGTTTACTATGTCTTGGAACCTGAGGTACTATCTGCACCAAGCTGTGCGACCCTGATGGTGACGTGGAAGAAGAATTGGGCGTATCGCTCGACGTCGGGGCCTGATATTATGCTCTCTCAACCGGTTGAGTACGGTTCTGCCACTTATTGGTCCCAGCCCCAGAATGGTCCGAACTGTTAATGTGGCAGTTTCGTATCGGCTCCATGTAGATGCACCACTCGAATATATAGCTGTCTCGTTGGCATGACGTCACACATGGCCGACCAGGTCGGTGGCAAGTCCGCGTTGCCCTGCAGTAGATAACGTCTCCAAAGACATACTATTGTGTTTCGACAACCTAAAAATGTCTGGCAACTTCAGTATGCGCCATTCTTGTTTGCCGCATACCCACGACGGGTAGACGTTGGTTTTCAGCAAGCCGTGGCATTGCGTAAGCGTTATCAACGGTTACACAAAAGTGTTTTAATGAGCACCTGATAGCTGAATAACCATTGTATGCTGTTCACATTAAAAATACACGTGTATTTGCATCATGCTCTAAACAAACACGCAAACATCCAAATTGTTCACCGTGCAAATTGTGAAGCACGTCGATCTTAAAGTCGAGTACATGTCTTCATGAATATGCATTAAAAAATTACGATATTTAATTTCAGAATAAATATATTTTTTATTGAACTTTATACGAAGCACAGTTACTTTTTTTCCGTAAGGGTGTGTTTGTGTACGAGTTTTAATAACACTTAATATATGATGTGGCTGTTATATTGCTGAAACAGGTGAATCAGAATACTAGTAATGCCTCTTATTCAAATTCATAATCGCGCTGCGAATAGCTGCAAGCTAAGATTGCTGATATTCACTCGCTCATTCCATTTCTTAATCCAGTCAACGGGTTGACCGATTCAATATTTTGCTGGAAGCAACGTAAAACCCATTGACTCACTCACTCAATTGTCCTCAGTACTACTTACGCTCATTGACGCAAACATGACCTGACACACATTAAATGCATGCCTCCAGTTGTGGTAGGCCACCACTCTGTAGTTCTTCTTCACTGTCAGCAGCCAGCAATACAGCGTCTGCAAAACGCATGGAAAACATGACAATTACTCCTCAAAGGAAACGTCGACCTTGACCCTCCACGGTCCTAAAATTGTGCTTTCATCTTCTGAAAAAGCTGCTGTACATTTCATACCCTGCATATGGTATCGGAATTCATTTGACAGAAAGGTTTGTTTAGACGGGAATCACATTTATACGACTTATTTCAACGTTCAGATAATACCCACTTAGTGTATACAATTTATTCCGAAGTATGGTGGACGGTTACGATCTTGATGTCATCAACTATGCTGACAACTATAATGCACCGGATATCAATATGTGGAATGTTTTCTTTTCGTTCTAACTGGTGTTACCGGAGTACAGTTCAAGTATTGCTATATATTTCGAAGTTTGTTCCCAGAATATGGCACTAAATTGTGCGTCTTTATCTAGTGTTTTAGTGGTCATGTGATTAATGTCGAGACGCTCAGTTTAGATTCATATTAGAAATTTCGCCATTTTCAAACGGAGACTAAAAACACTAAGACACATCTTTAGCTGAGTGCAGAGGTTGGACAGTGTACAAATGGTCAACGTGACTGGAAAAGACTTTTGCCTCAAATGGGCAATGGCATAGATGCAGTTTGGTCACTGAATGTCTGCACATTGTCTGCAATGATATGACTTTAGAATAATAGGGATGCGTTTGTACTGTAAAGTTTTAAATGTCATCATTTCTTCAGAAATAAGGAAAAGGCAAAACCAAACTTTGAATGTTAAGAAAATCAAAGGGACAAAATCTTTTTTTATATGGTCCATGTCACATTTTAAAATACCGCTCATAAAACGTTTTAATAACGCGAAATTGTATTCTGTTACATCTACTTTGACACATTAATGATTCTAGAATTGCGACATACTTATGCTTTGTGGAAAATGCTGACATGCAATGTTTATGTGTGTTAGCTCAAAAAAGTTATGTTTTTAATTGTAATTGCTGAGTAGGCAGGCATAGATTTTCCTTTCGTGTCAAAGATCTCATTCCATTGAAATGTCAGAAAAGAAAATCATTATACACGTGTTTCATAATATGGAATATAAAAATACTTTTAGATCGATAAAACCGTGGAGGGCCAAATGTTTTGTATATTATGCTATACACTGTACATGCAATTTCATGTAGGCAGAGACACGTTTGACAGTCACGAACGTTTGTTGCATGTATATGTAGTGCGGGGGACATCTGGACATACATACAGTATTTAATATCGTGCAATAACCCACGGTGTGGCAAACTCGGTAGTGAATAGAAACCATGTCAAGTATACGCCTACCAATGTCAACATGCGCAGTGAAACTTACGTCGTATTCTATCCTGAACTTCCGAATCAGACCAAGGTCATGGAAGATGCGGACAGCAGCTAGTACCATTTCATCTCGGTTGAGGGAGAAGTCATTGAAGCTGAGGTCCCCAAGCCGCCACTCATGTTCCTCTGGTATTTTCTGTGCCTAATCAGTACATGTCAAGTATTTTAACTGAAGCATTTTACATTGTCATTAAAATCAGAGAACACGGGCGGCCAAGTGTACGACATCCCCCACTTCATCGTCACAGTTCAAAGTAGCGTTATACGCATTCACTCATCTCGAACATTAACATGCAACTATAACTTACTTTGATATCTATGACTTCATCGGAGGACACGCCGGCATGGTAGGACAATGTCTGGAAGTAATATATGTGTGGTGAACGTTTACACGTCAACGCAGTACATTCAGATTAATACTCCTAATCAGCAACATGTTAATAAGGCTGATACTCAAGCCGCTCTTAAAGCGCAAGGAGTTAACACACACAATGCAATCTTTTTTGGCTTCAGTCGCTACATAGCTGGAAGATTAATAATGCGATGTTACATGTACGTCGCAACTGACAAGTCACCCACTATGATGGTTTAAGGGAACAGTTGTAGGTATGACATGACAATGTTGTTTTATTGTTGGAATAAGCATCACCGAGATGGACATGTTCCTTTATATGGAAACATAAAACCAAACGAGGGGGAATGGTTAAATATACAACTTAAATTCATACATTTGAAGAACTGAGAATGAATCATGAAGCTTTAAGTAGTTTGGACATGTACAAAATTTGTTATGATACAAAGTTAAGTAGTTATATGGCCCTTATTTAAACATAAACTTCAAGCAATGCACAAAAATCATACCTCCAGCGCTACCGCCTGTCTGGCAGCTGACAGCGACACCTCCTCGTACAGTAAGGAGTTGTTGATACCCAAACCACAGAAAATGGAGAAAGCCTGGTGAAAAAGATGTTGTGTTTTGTCCTTCTCAAGCATGAAACTAGTTTACTAATGACATTTTTAAGCAATGCGTGTACAAAACATGTAGAAATGTACATTTTTGATATAACAACATAATACTGATGATTGATGACAACAATTGCAAACATGTTCTCACGGTGAAGATATTTGTGCAGCAATACGTCAAATAAACGCCAAATAATTCTTTTTTCTGAGATTCGAAATTCGTCAAATCCGGATACATTGAATATGGGGTATAGCTAAATACATGCAGCCGCTTGTAAAAAAAATATTTCAACCTCCGGACAGATATTCTGCGTATAATTGTTTTTGAAAAACAATTCAGAATGTCTCACTGTTCTCTAGGATTGGTTACAGTTTGGGATTGGCTACAGTTTGGGATTGGTTACAGTCAGAGTGTTAATGATGTTTATGCATGTATGAAGTCCAAACCTCATCTGTTAAACTACTTTAATCTAGAACTAAACCTAAAGCTCCTCATGCGTATACAAACCTCAAACAGTTGATCGTCGTGTTCGTCAAACGGCAGTCCATCTGTTCTGTTGACCACTTGAGCTACGCCTGTGTATAAATCAAATGGTCATAACAGAGTAAGCGCAAGAGGATTATTCGTCGTGGTCAGCAAGTGAATGGAAGCGATAATGGTCAGGGCAATGCTCCATGTAATCAGGCATGACACAGACGATTAGAGCTATGCCCTTTCCATTCTCCATGAACATTTACCCAAATAGAAAATGGCGACTAAATCATTTCCATCATCCATAGAAAAGGTTCAGTACACCCCTATTTCTGAACCATGACATATGGCAAAAATCATGGCATAGGATGACTGACCATAGGAGCTGGACGATACCAATGTCATCAGATAGAACAAACATTTGACAACAAATAAAGAAGATATTGGTGAGTTATGATTGAAATTTACTGACAAAAACATCATTGTAACACAGATTCTGTTTTTGACCTTAGACAATACCTAAAAAAGTATGCAGCTGCAGGATTAAGTAGAACGAGTTACGTTTGATGTTTCATGTGAAAATGTTCCTAAAAGTCTCTACCTGACATGACACGTGAAACAGATCAGTAGCGGGTATAGCCGCTACGTGCTCGGATGACGCATTCCACACTACGTCTCATGTCTCCAGTCAGACGTTGGATCTGTTGATGGGTTAACAACAACCACTCCTGATGCAATGCTGCTTCCAACTGGCGTAAATCATCTTGTTTAGGAGGATCTCGTGCCTGTATGGGCCGCCCCAGAATATCCCAAACATGTTCAAGGGGGTTCAAATCTGGGCTGATTGCTGGCCAGGGTATAGTCGTTATTACATTGGCCCTCACGAAATCCACGACTTCATGCGAACGATGAGGTCTGGCATTGTCATCCATGTACTGAGGTCGAGTAGCAAGAGGGTGGTTGTCAAACTGAGGAACGACGACTGGGCTCAAACGTCCCGGATGTACTGAGCTCCTGTTAAGTTGCCCCTTGTGGTGACCAAATCCAACCTGCAATCATGATACACCCCCAAACCATTACCGAGACCACGCCGTATGCAACAGTCGGTTTAATGTTCCTGGGTGCCTCCAAACTCTCGTTCTTCCATCAGTGACGTGGAACAGAAAGCGACTTTCGTCTGACCAATGGATCCGTCTCCAGGTTCTCAGATTCCAGTGCTGTCGCGCAATACACCATGCTAAACGAACAGCTTTGTGGTGATCTCTCAACAAGGGACGCTTTATGACTCGTCTAGCCGGTTCCTGACGGTTCTGGTGCTGAAACGACGATTGCCCAACCACAGCTGTTTCAGACGAGTTCTTGTTAAAAAGGGTTCCCGGCGTATGAGACTAAGAAGGTCCCTGTCTTCGCGATGTGTCGTTACAGGAGGTCTTCCTGATCTGGGACGGTCCTGTACATCACCGGTCTGAGCACGTTTCTCGACAAAACGGCTTACGACAGTGTGATGATACCCCAAATTCCGACCAATGGCATTACAAGACATTCCTGCGTTATGTATGCCGATTATTTGCCATCTTGGGCCGTTTGATAATCGCCTTCGTGCCATGGTCACACAATGTCATGGAATAACTGTTTAAAACCGAGCTTAAGAAAGCACGTTTGGGTATACTGCTTTTAGAGATATTCGAGCGAAGCATGCTGCACGGGCATATCATGCATGACACGTGAGCTTTCGTCAGGCATGACTGATTACATCAGCTCGAGAAAACATCATTCTTCCCCTCATTATACCTTTCATGACAGTTACAAATATTGGGACCAAACAATAATGAAATATATTAGGGTGGGCTAAACTTTTTTCTTTGTGTATATAATAAGCTATATGTTTATATCACAACTAAATAGTGACGATACCAGGTGCATCCTGCTAACCGGGGGCACCCGTCACAAACACATGAAAGGCAAGTCAATTGTTCACCTGCAACACAGGAATATATGGTACCAGTCAAAATAGAGAAATGCATCGGACATCATTCCTCAAGCGTCAAATTTGGAATGTCTTCCATATGTTTACTATAAATATTTTGAAAGCTTTGCTGAGGTCTTGAATGTTGCAATCGTGATCCAACAACTTCTGAGCAAGACTCGAATGACGCTCATTGACATTTTCGTAGACAGATCATGCTCGATTTTACCTCAAAAGTTGTTAAATATAGACAAAAAAGGCTGAAGCTGCTTGCATATTGCTCGAGATAAAGGGACAGTTGAGTGTTGGAAGGTTGAAGTCTTCCCTCTTGTCATACAGTCTTGTGGATAGTTTTTGTCACTCTGAAGCTATATGCATAGATCTAAGTATGAAACAGATGAGGCTCTTCCATCGGTCTCCTTTATTTATAATTCAAGTGGGTACATCAGTGGAAGGGAATTGCTATTTGACCATTATTGAACTATATAAGATCATCAATATACCAGAAGCAATTATTTCTTTGCCAAAGTCCCTTGTTTTGATTTGGCCAAATTCCGAATTATTATCACAAAGAAAAAGATCGTATACTATTCCCATTAACTACTTACTGTTATCACCTAAACCTTTACGAGAAATCTGGTGATCTATTCTGGCCTGGATTCTTTGAAGGTACACACCAGAAGATGTGTCATCTGCACTTCTTTTCCTTTAATCCCATACCAAGAGAAGTGAATATGTGGGACCAATGATTGTGTAAGATATCAGATATGAAGTGACTGAGTGAGTGAGTATGGTTTTACGCCGCTTTTAGCAATATTCCAGCAATATCACGGCGGGGGACACCAAAAATGGGCTTCACACATTGTACCCATGTAAGGAATCGAACCCGGGTCTTCGGCGTGACGAGCGAACGCTTTAACCACTAGGCTACCCGGCCGCCCCTCAAGTATGTAGGTAATCATGGTTTACGGATGTGTTTTAACCTTGTTTGTTTGTTGTTTAACGCTGCACTGTTAAATAGTCCAGCTATATGACGGCGGTCTGTAAATAATCGAGTCAGGACCAGTCAATCCAGTGATTGACATCTTGAGCATCGATCCACGCAATTTGGATACGATGACATGCATCAACCAAGTCACGGCGCTTGACCACCCGATCCCGTTAGTCGCCTCTTACGACAACCGTAGTCGCTTTTTACGGCAAGCATGGGTGGCTGATGATCTATTCTGACCCTGGATCTTCACGGGTGGTTTTCCCATGTGGTTTATCAAATGCTTCTAACGTTTTTGTTTATAACAGTTCACCAGATCTGTAACTTGAAAGTAAACGATTTTTAACGTGTTTTCTTTTCAGAACCCCGTGGTATCCCGGGTTAGAATAGATCATCAGCAATCCATGCTTGCCGTAAAAGGCGACTGAATATATCGGGTGATCAAGCGTATCATGAATGCGTATCACCGCACCCAAAAAAGCACGGCACTTTGCTGTTAATATTAATCACTGGTTATCTGGTCCTGACTCAATTAATTTCAGGTCGTAGTTATATAGTTTGAATATTGAGCGTTTAACAAACAAACAAAACCTTTCAAAATATGATTGGAAGGACATATGAACTGGATGTCCCGAAGCACCGCGCGCGACGCCCCATTCGTATTGTGTTTGTCTCTCAACATGTAAAAACTAATGACAAAAGTTGTAACTAAAAGCTTTGTAAATAGAATAAATAGCGTCCTTGTTATATGCAAGAGGTTTTAATCCTCCGCCTCGGTGGTCTAGTGGAGAACGGAAGGTCGTTAAATTCTCGTACTTGTTGTTACCCTGTATTGCTGCATTAAGGGGATAAAACAGAGACTTGTCGGCTCGGATATAAGTGTAATAATCTTAGCACGACGTTAAACCCCATTTCACCTCCCCACCTTATAACATTCTGATCATGTATAATTTTCCATGAGGTAAATAAAAGTTTACCTATGATTTGGTAGTTTTTGTCTCTGATCGGCTTACACAAAATACTTCTTGTATGGAAACCGCTCACTTTGTCAATCTGAAAAAAATAGAAATATATTTTTCGAGTAACGGTTTAATGAAATATACAATTCGTAAAGCACTGACATAAAGCACAAAAACATTTTGTTTATCAGAACCGATGCTGAAATGTTTGTAACGGCTGCCCCTTGACTACATGCTGAGACAGACACATCGGCGGATCGTGATAATAAAAAACCCTTTGAGGTTTGATAGATGCTTTAAATAGCTATTAATCATCATGGCATATATCGGAAAATGGAGCCTTGGAAAGTATGGCAAAGTATTTTGCAGAGATAAAAGCTTTCAGCTTCATTACGAGCAAAAGTCTTTCGATATGAGCCCACGGCCACTCAGATATATTTTATAATCTGGCATGTTCAAGTACATTGGCACTTATCGAGATTACGCTGCCGTAATCATTTGTGTTGGGTTCCGTTGACTATCAGAAGTTCTTCCACACACTTTGGAATGCAAGAAAGCGGACATCAGGGCCGGGATTTAGTATTATCCCTTCTTTAAAATTATTTAAAATATCTTAACGCCATTGATGTCAGGGAGACAAATCATCTTAAGTGATGAAGTGTTTCCTAGTTTTCTGACGCCTTTGATTACATACATAACACTCTCTATCGATTGTATCATTTAAAGGCAGATATCATTAAGCGGATACACTTATTGCTAGGGTAGTTTCACCGATGAAGGAATCGCACCAGAATCTAACAATACATGCTGAATCCCACACAAAAAAATGAAATAAATGTACTTGTCACACCTCAGTTAAGACGTCGCCGTTGTAAGTAATCGCGTCTGGACCAGACGATCCAGTGGTTAACATCGTGAGCATCGATCCATGCAATTGGGATACGACATGCAACAACCAGTGATTTATATCATGTTTGTTTGTTTGTTTGTTTGTTGTTTAACGCCACACTCAGCAATATCCCAGTTATATGAGGGCGGTCTGTAAATAATCGAGTCTGGACCAGACAATCCAGTGATTGACATCATGAGCATCTATCAACGCAATTGGGATCGATGACATGCATCAAACAAGTCAGCGAACCTGACCACCCGATCCTGTTCGTCGCCTCTTACGAAAAGCATAGTCGACTTTTACAGCAAGCATGGGTTGCTGAACACCTATTCTACCCCGGATCTTCACGGGTCTGTCCTCACTCTGAGAGACTGCATGTTTTATCCCATCAACAAGTCCTTTTGATTCCCATTGTCTTTCTTTGTGTACATTAAGCTGATGTAATTGATGTCAGTCGGAAGAGTGGTGACTGACATTTTACTGTTTGTTTTACTAACCACACGGCCATTGACATTATGAACTGAGTGTGGGCGTCTGACATTTGCCATGTAATTACCGTTAATGTAGGTGCGATGAACATGATATCCGCAGTGAGCATTAGTCCATCACTATAGTGTGATCGGATGTGAACAGAGGTAAGATGGTCCGTGTTATTGTTTTTTATCCTTATCGGCTGTAAAAACTGCCGTTAGGAGAGTTTACATGTTGAAACATGGGGGGTTCTTTGCTCCAATTGTTAGCAAGTATTAACAAAGGGTTAGAGGGTTGAACATGTTTGGTTGTAGAACACATGTGCACACAAATTGTGCATACATATATGAGGTCACACTCACGCTAATGTTGTACAATACGATACAGAGGCGGATACAGCTTTTTTTAAAGGGGGGGGGGGTGCACAACTAAGATCTATTTATTGTCTTTGGTGGTAATTTATACAGAAATAAAGATTTTTTTCGAAATAAAAAGGCGGGGGGGGGGGGGGGGGGGGTGCGCAACCCCGCAACCCCCTCTGTATCCGTCCATGCGATAACACGATAACGCCCCGAGAAGACCAGGGTTAGAATTGTTATTTTCTTGTTGTAAGAGGCGACAAACGGAATCGGGTGGCAGTGCTGGCTGACTTGGTTGATGCATGTCATCGTGTTCCGATGCTCATGATATAAATCGACCCGTGAAGATTCCGGGGTAGAATAGGTCTTCAGCAACACATGCTTGCTGTAAAAGGGGACTATGCTTGTCGTAAAAGGCGACTAACGGGATCGGGTGGTCAGGTTCGCTGACTTGGTTGATGCATGTCATCGATCTCAATTGCGTTGATCGATGCTCATGATGTCAATCACTGGATTGTCTGGTCTAGACTCGATTATTTACAGACCGCCCTCATATAACTGGGATATTGCTGAGTGCGGCGTTAAACAACAAACAAACAAACAAATAAACATGATATAAATCACTGGATTGTCTGGTCCAGACTCGATTATTGACAGACCAGCGTCATATAGATTGAGTATTGCTGGGTGCGGCGTTAATCAAGAAACAAGCAAACCAAGAAAGAAATTAACAAAGCAATATAACATTGTACAAAAAAATTAATTATATATTTTTCACCTCATGAATGAGATTTCGTATAAAATGAAATAGTGTAGTATGGGGACGACGTTCTTTTTTAAGACTAGGATGTCAACTTTGCTATGACAATAGCTTAATTAACGCAGCAACAAACATAATAACAATATTATGCAGGACGTTTCTATCCGTCGTTTTAGATTTACTTACCCGCCAAAGAAACGTCACTTTATGAAAATAATTCCTGAAAGCTTCCCATTGAAATATCAATGCATTTTGGGAGGTATCTCGTTTAGTCTGTATTAAAATTGAATGTTAACGGCCAAAATGTGACACGATTTATGGATGTAATTGGTCGCCAACTCACAGCTCAAGAAGCGTTCACGGAACAAACTCCCGAATGCTTTCCATGAAAATCAAAATTCACTTGCGTTTCCTTGTGCCTTTTCTGATAGACGGCACCCCAATACGTGGATCCAACATTCTGGTATCGATACAAGCGCCATGTAAGGACAACGAAGAATCAGAGAAACCAGGCTTTAGGACGACTGCATGGTGGCCATCACGGATGTTTTCCAATGCTACGTGAGAACCATCTATAGATTACAGCAACGATACCAGGTCAAAAACTAGATACCCCCCCACCCCAAAAAAAAAAAAAAAAAAAAAAAAAGAAAAAGAAAAAAAGAAAAACCCATTGATATGTCATTGGGGAAACTTGAAGTCACTTTTCTTTTTCGGTTCAGTATATAACACTTCATCATACCTCTGGGTCAAATCGTGCGTCTTGGTAGGCGTCAGCAATGTTGATTGTGTCTCCAGTAATGAGAACCAGTTCAGCAATCTTGTTTCCGAGTTTGAGATCAGAGCAGCTTTCAGCACTGAAATATAGGGGAAGCTACTGGCTTATTTGATGTCCTGAAGGATGGCACGATTGATTATTAAATTGTAATGACGGGTTAATTCCGGACTAGATGTAGTTATTTATAGCAGCGGTATAAGCTGTGCATGTCTTGGAAAGATTGGCGATAAAAACCTGAGGAGCGAGAGCAAGTCCTCATTGAAGTATTTCCTTGTCATACTACAATAGGCACCTGTCTCATGACACTTTCTTCTTCAAGCTCAATTACAAGGGTTTCATATTTCACACTAAGACCGGTATTTATGTGTGTGTGTGTGTGTGTGTGATTGTGTGCGTGTTGTTTTACGCCGTACGCAATATTCCAGCTGTTTGACGTTTAATAATCGAGTCCAGACAATCCAGTGATTAATATTGTGAGCAACGATCCATGCAATCGGGGTAGGGTTACACACCAAGTCACAAGGCCTGAACACCCGATCCATTTAGTCGCCTTTTACGACCGCCATAGGTGGGGGACCACCACGGGGAATTTCAAGGTAGTATATGGCCAACCAATCATTGCAGACAGGGTCAGTGGTTTATGCTACACATACATCTGACAGGTTCATATTGAAAAGCATGTGGTAAATTGAGATAATGACAGTTACAAAACACCACATGCAGTTACACCTCAAAGATCCCGAAAAGGAAAGTTTGTGATACAGCGAAGCAAGCTGAAGGTGTTGGACAAGACATACACGTAAAATCATAGACAGATCTTTTAGGTAGTTAAGTGTATATAAGGCGGACCTTGGCTACCTTTGTTAAAGCGATCGTAGTGTCATGGCTGTCTTAACTGCCGCGACACAGAGATAGCTCTCGTTGACAAAGTAACCGTCGTGGTAATGCTGACGTAAGAGTCTTAATAGAGATTTTCAAATGGGTTCCGTTTCACAAGGTGGTCAAAATTCCATGACTGCTATAACGCCCACGCTTTAACATTGACTAGCGATGGACGTAGCCGTACCATAAGTAGCCTTTAATGCAATCTTATCGGCAAAATGGTCCAACGTGTTAGGTTTACTATAGTTTTCAGGTTAAGATTATTACGTCCAAAGGATCCCGCGCCGATCTTCGCGCTGTGACTGTCGCCTCATCTACTCATGCGCTATAACTATGCTTACAGCAGTTGTAATTAAATGAGGAAAGTGCCACTTTATAAGAGAGAAGATGTTTCCGTGAATCGGTTTGACTAGACTATTATATTTGGTTTGTGCAACCAGACATTAATAATGCTAGTGCTAATTTTTAAACTTGGCAGATTTTATAGATAATTACAGATTCGGGAATATCACAAATACTGACTAATAATACTATATACATCACAGCCCCGTTCCACAAAGCGACTGTTACGTCAACAGAGACTACAGCTCTGAGATAGCTCTGCGACTGGTAGTTGCTTTGAAGCCAATTTATCAATATCCAAAACCGATGGCACCAATTGGACACCATATCATTGACTTCTGTGGGCAATCGAATTTAACTCATATTCACAAAAAGACTTAACCATACTGTGGGTTACTACTGCAGTAGCTCAACGAATGATTTGTGAAACAAAATCCTGTGTCATCTATTGCGAGCGAGCGCATTGTCCATTGGGCTAGTCCATCGATCGCCCCTAGCTTTGCGGAACAGGGCCATGAAGGCCTTGGGTGAAATACAGCATTGAATCTGTTTACCTGGAGAAGGGATTTGCTTGACTGTCTCCATTGTTGGACTTTAGGAACATCTTGCGTCTGAGGGTGCAACCACAGGAAGATGTGCAGATAGAATGAAGCCATTTAGTGCATACATGACGTCAACCACGATAAGTAGTTTAACAGTTACAGTTATCATTCACATACATATCTTACTTTGGCATACAGATTTAACACGCACATACATCGCACAACACTCAACAGGGAAACAGGCAAGCGTTCAGTGGGAAAGTGGAAAGCCAGGGTTGAATATGATACTTTGAGAAAGATTTGAGACTGCGTGTAATTATGAAATCAAACTCAAAGGCACATTGACCTTTAAAATACTAGGACACATATGAACATATTGAAACGGAATGCATAATCCTGATATAACATAATTAATGGGAAACTTGATATGTGGTATTTGCCTTGGTATATAATACGCATGTACATTCAAAACGTCGACGCCAGAGAATAACCAGTCTCGATTATCTGCCGAACAGAATCCATTGGAGTAAAGGGCAAATGTGTGAATAAAATTATACAAATGGATAATTGAAAATCAGTGATAACATCAGGTGTTCGCGAAATGAGTAAGTATGTCCCGCTCTACCGCTAGGTGAGGTGAAATGGGGTTTAACGTCGCGTCCAAGATTATTGCACTTATATAGTGACGCGCATGTACGTGTGTGTTTGTGTGGCTGCTTGTACTACTCCGGACTGATGCCGATTTTTGGTGCTAGCTCATTGAGATACCATGCCGCAGTTTAACATGAATATCCCACGCAGACACAGTATACTGACTCCGAGCCGACCAGTCCTCGTTTTAGCTCCTTAATGCCGAGCGCCAGACAGGGTAACAACAAGTACCATCTCTTAACGTCTTTTGGTATCATGCGGCCGGGGATGGAAACCTCGGACCTTCCGCTCTCCGGGCGGACGCTCTACCACTAGACCACGGAGACGGTCTCTACCGGTAGGACCTGCCACACAATTTGCATAAAAACTACGTGTGTCTTTGTTGCCTAACGCCACACCCAGCAATACCCATGAATGCTTTCATCAGTGTTAATATCAGTCACCTAATGTTGAAGGTCCCGGTCTGTAATTTAGTTTTCTGCAGTCTGTGAGAGCGATACGATAGAACCATCAAAATTCAATATGCCTCTGGGGCATTCTGAGGAAGCGGGTGGCTACGCCCCATAAGCGCCACAATTGGTGTCTCGTACTGTTGCGTCCCTTATATTGATCCAGGGGGCACTGGTGGCCCAGTCGTCTAAGGCGCCACGATTCGCTGTCCAGAATTGCGTCCCTTGGGCACGCCAGAAACCTATGATTGCGGGTTCTAGTCCCGGTTCGCCCCGATTATATTTCTAGGTTTGTCAGCATAATACCCGTGCTCGTGGGTTTCACCGAAGTGGTAGACGTCTGAGACCTGCATCACTTCGGGCTTTCCTCCCACATTAAGCTGACACGCCGTGATATAACTGGAATACTGTTAAAAGCGGCGTTAAACCCAACTCACTCATTCACTTATATTGATCCGTACCAGGATAATGTAAGTGAGTGAGTGAGTTGGTTTTACGCCGCTTTTAGCAATATCCCAGCAATATCACGGCGGGGGACACCGGAAATGGGCTTCACACATTGTACCCATGTCGGGAATCGAACCCGGATCTTCGGCGTGACGAGCGAACGCTTTAACCACTAGGCTACCCGACCGCCCCACCAGGATAATGTAGATACTTGTTGTAATCCTATACTCGCCCTGATTATGATCCTAAGTTTATCATCACTGTGTGCGTTGTCATGGGTTGTGGCCATCCTCCAATATTAAGCTGACACGCTGGGAAAGAACTGAAATACTGTTCCAAAGCGTCTTGAAAAACATACCACCCATTCATTCAACCTCGAAGATTCATAACATATTCCTAAATTCATTTGATAAGGATATAATGATAAAATAGATATCAGTCCACCAGTAAGTGCCTTCCTGTTTGGTGTCACAGAAGTCAACAGTTGCTAAGATGAACATAAGGTGAACATCACATTTTACCACTTACACTGCACTGTATTATTGAGAGTTTAAAAGGCAATTTAAACTATATCATAACGTCAAATGGTAGATCAACTAAAACCACCCATAAGTACAGCTTCATCCTGTTCATCATTGAGAGAAAGACTGAACTCACTGAAATGCCAAATACCCTCCATTGCTTTTATTTCGCTCCGGCTGTTGTCTCAGCCATCGCCAGCCGTTCAAATGATCCCACTTATCAACCTCATGTACACCATGACCTCACGAAGGAGGTCATGTGGCGATCAGTCAAAGCCGAGCTTTACAAGAACGAAAGCGACAGAGTTTGAATTATATGCCCAGAGGTGATCTTGTCCACGAAATTAAATTTCCCAAAGGCAGTGTGTATTGAACCATCGCCAATTGCCAGCTTTACCTTATTGCTGAGTGTCCGTTTCGGAATGGGTAGGCCAAGTCGAAGACCTTGTTGAAAGATGTCTGGAACGATAAGACCCAGAGGGAAAGGTAAAACTGATTTGCCAAGAATGATTATATCACTGAACAGATAGACTAGAAAATACTACAATTCTATTTCCTTTATTAATTGAATTGCTCCCCAACATGTTATTAGGTGTTTGCCTCAAGCCAAACCGACGTTAACCGATATGCACGAATAAACAGATTCTGATAAAAAGAGAAGAGAATAAAACAGTGGCCATAATAAACAGGTCCTTCGGATGTTTAGTGCTAGCATCGTTTTGATGTATAAACACGATTTAGTAATTGCAAAGCATCAGATTGGATACTTGATTTGAAAGAATACATGATATTCTCCAGTGACCGGCTGACGCCTTCGTAGATGAAACACCCTATGCACTTCGTTCTTTCATCCGCGATCACATTTGTCATAATTCATAATTGATTGCGTCAATGAAATTAATACGCCACAATGCTTATTAAAAGTGTGGTTTTATAAAATCAATATAATAATTATTGTAATGAAGGAGGCACATGTAAGATATGGACCGTTTAGGACCACTGGAAATGTCAAATGTTAAATTTACGGAAAATGTGTGATAACGGCATGATAATTATCAGACATGTTCAAATGGTTGACAACTAGCCTTTTCATTCCTACACGTGGGAGTCGTTTACTTCTGACATGTATAGATAAACGACAATGGCCAAAATGAGCGAAAAAAGACGATATTTCCAGCTTCAAGAAAAAATTGAACGATGAGCAAGTCAGTGTTCTTACATGATTTATTACCATATTTTTTTAATGGTTTTATCTACATCGCCTTAGAAAATCACCTTGGGTCAAAGTCTAGCTCATTTTCAATTAAAAGAATTGCTTCCTGAAAAAGCTCTTAAGTCAGCGTTTTCGAAACGTTTTATCCTTAGGTAATACTTTTTGTGTTATTACAAGTCCAAAACATGTTTGTTTTTAAATGAACAAAGTCTAGTTCACATGTGAACATATCTGATGACAACAATTTCTAAACGTTCTGCTCATTTCTTAACTTATACAGATCCAGTGGGCAAAAAGGGCCCTATAACTTGTCCTGTTATGTTGGGTACTAGTTGTTGTTTTGTCAGTATAACAACGATAAACTGACATGACCTATTTTTTTTTTCCCCTGGAATTTATAATGTTTCATATTAATGTTATATTACGTAAGACTACTTTGATGGATCTCTTGATCTGCCTTTCACAAAACTTATTTTGAAGATTCTCTTTTGCAACATTTTCGTTTGGAAAATACCATTATCGATAATTCATTTGTTAGCTTTCTGTAAACTACTTTCACCTGCATTCATTCAAAGGTTACATTTTGGTAAACGATCCATCAGGGAATATTTGTAAATCACACATGCAGCCAGGCAAGGAAATGTTTAATCCACATGTCGCCTTTATCTATGCGCGAAATGTAATCTATAAAATCTGGTTGGAAAAACCAGAATGTTTGAATTATATCATAGAGTTAGTTAGAGTTAAAACATATACTTCAATGATAGTCACTCTATAGTTGTATATCATACTATTACTTCGCTGTGTTATCATACTATTATTTATTGTATTTAATCCGGAATGTGGCGACATATGAATTTCCAAACACATTTTCCATGCAATAATCATCCTTTGACTTGCGAATGCTTACAACAGCATAAGTAATCCTGTGTTTACGGCATGAAGAATATGACGTAATTTATTGATGAACATTTTGACCAAATGTTATCGTTGTTTCGGTTGATGCGTTCGCATTATATCTCCCCCAAATCGCGTTTGTTGTTTTGTGAAATGTGATTATACATGATACAGCTGCTCGAAAGTGCCTCCCCAATCGCACCATCAAGCCAATGTAAATCTCTGTAGCATTCTGAAAACTGTTTGTTTGATACGACTTGTTGTGATCATGATTGGTGAAGAGGACGCTGCGGCCATCGGTTACCAGGTTTCAGTTATGAGGCATGCCAGAAAAAGAGAATGCAGAAAGTCGGACATACGGAAGAACCGACCTCGGTAGTTCCATCCCTGAGCAGCACGGAACATCTCTCACATTTTAGCAGTGTCTGTGCCCTCTGCATGATCTTCAGAATGACGTTCTCGAGGGAGGTTTGGTCTTCACAGAGAGCGTGAACCACTTCCAACAATGCCTAGGAATTATACGACACAGAGGTAATCAATAGCCCAAGTATAGCGTCTCACATACGATGAATTCTGATAAATAAGTTCTTATATAGTTTAACAATGGGAAATTTGAATTTGAGTGTATGAATGTTATAAACAATAGTACAGTAAACTACGGTTATAACGAACTCGAAGGGACCACTAATTTTAGTTCGTAATAACCGCAGTTCGTTATAAGCATATAAACAGCATTTATACAACAAATGGTCGGGACTAAAATAAGTTCGTTATATCGGTCAGCTCGTTATAAGCGTGTTCATTATAACCGTAGTTTACTGTACTTGTATTCGATTATCATATATAACCTGTAACGTTGTACGTACATATCACAAGACGGTCCGGTAGCAGATGTGATATTGAGACATCTATATTGAACACCAAAAGAAACGTGAAATATCCTGTATTGTTTTCATACGTGAACATAGAACCGCACTGGATGACTGAGAACAAATAATTATTCTTTGTCGCCAATACGGTCAGCATACAGTGAACAATCGTGAAATGAATTTCAGCACATGCAGTCATTGGTAGAATGTTCAATGGGATGCATGCGCGCATCAAGCACTGAATGTACATGGTGTTACTGTGGCTAAAATGTTGGCGCATTTATCATTCATCACTCTGCAAACGTCAGCAGCGATCGTGCTCTGTTTACATTAGTTTTAGAGAGAAAGAGGGCTATTGGATTAACCGAAGGAGAACACAGCGCCCAAAGGGTTGTAAACACGTGCAACATGCATGTGTAAACCATCCATTGGTGCAATGCAACTAACGTCACCAACGACCGTAAGCCTGTGGCCGACCGCGACACGTCAAGACCGGGAAATGCATCGTAGTCACTGCAAGAATGCCTCCTTTCGGCCTGTAAAACTGCCCGAAACACCATTAGAATTCATGGCAGGCCTACATCCGCGAGGCGTCGTTCGACGGAAAGGGTCAAGCGATACAGGCAACCAACAAGAGGTACAGTGTTGACTCAAAGTCACCGGACTTTGAACCACGTCAATTGGCGTCAACAACAATGGAGGCGAGTTCTTTTCTCTGACATAGCATTGCAATAATATTATACATAATTGGCGTCTCTTGACATGATTGACGAATGTTGCATTATACCACAGTTATTAGAGCAGCCAAATGTTGCATTACGCCGCAATCATTACATCAGCCGAATGCTGCATTACGTCGCAGGTATTACATTAGCCGAATGTTGCATTACGCCGCAATCATTACAACAACCGAATGTTGCATTACGCCACAGTCATAACATCATCCGAATGTTGCATTACGTCGCAGTCATTACATCAGCCGAATGTTGCATTACGCCGCAATCATTACAACAACCGAATGTTACATTACGCCACAGTCATTACATCAGCCGAATGTTGCATTACGCCGCAATCATTACAACAACCGAATGTTGCATTACGCCACAGTCATTACATCAGCCGAATGCTGCATTACGTCGCAGGCATTACATCAGCCGAATGTTGCATTACGCCGCAATCATTACAACAACCGAATGTTGCATTACGCCACAGTCATTACATCAGCCGAATGTTGCATTACGCCGCAATCATTACAACAACCGAATGTTGCATTACGCCACAGTCATTACATCAGCCGAATGCTGCATAACGTCGCAGACATTACATCAGCCGAATGTTGCATAACGTCGCAGGCATTACATCAGCCGAATGCTGCATTACGTCGCAGGCATTACATCAGCCGAATGCTGTGTTACGTCGCAGGCATTACATCAGCCGAATGTTGCATAACGTCGCAGACATTACATCAGCCGAATGCTGCATTACGCCACAGTCATTACATCAGCCGAATGTTGCATAACGTCGCAGACATTACATCAGCCGAATGTTGCATAACGTCGATGACATTACATCAGCCGAATTTTGCATTACGTCGCAGGCATTACATCAGCCGAATGTTGCATAACGTCGCAGACATTACATCAGCCGAATGTTGCATTACGTCGCAGGCATTACATCAGCCGAATGTTGCATAACGTCGCAGACATTACATCAGCCGAATGTTGCATAACGTCGCAGACATTACATCAGCCGAATTTTGCATTACGTCGCAGGCATTACATCAGCCGAATGTTGCATAACGTCACAGACATTGCATCAGCCGAATGTTGCATAACGTCGCAGGCATTACATCAGCCGAATGTTGCATTACGCCACAGTCATTACATCAGCCGAATGTTGCATTACGTCGCAGGCATTACATCGGCCGAATGTTGCATAACGTCGCAGACATTACATCAGCCGAATTTTGCATTACGTCGCAGGCATTACATCAGCCGAATGAATGTTGCATGACACTATAGACATTACAACAACCGAATGTTTCAATACGCCGCAGTCATTTCAGCAACCGAATGTTGCATTACGACGCAGTCATATTTCAGCAACCGAATATTGCGTTACAGTGCAGTGATTAAAGAAATATATCACGACTGTAAATAGAGGAGTCTGTGCCAGCAATAACAGTGGTTGATAACATGAGTACTCGGTTACACGTTTACAACCATTCTACACTGTTCCTACAATCACGAACCAGGAAGATATTCACCACTAGGATGACTTATGATCGAATCATATGCTTCTTTATCTATTTACTCAGCATTGTAATTTGACGTCTCAGATTCGATCAATCAGGATGCTAAAACAAACGGAAAAACCTCCTCGTACCTTATTTCGCTCATATTCCTTTGAGTATGCCTCAAATATTTGAGCGTTGTGAATACCTATACCACAAAATGTCAGGTACGTTGCCAGCAACTGAAAAATTAAAAACATACAATTAATTATACTTGTGTATGTTTAATGTATCATGTTTGTATTGCAATGATATATGGAAACTGGAAAATCGTATTGCTGCCAGGCTTCCAAAATACACACTTCTCTGTATAAATACTTAATGGAAACTGGAAACATTAAGAAACGGAGGCACTTATAAATATATCATGACAGCTAGGCACGAACATGTTTAGTGGTCTACTAAACTAACTGGTACGACATTATTCAATATGCGATATCCCCCAAAGGCCGTTTGTACCGAAGCGTATAGTAGATAACTTTTTCATAAGTGACCAGAATGATTCTTTCACGGAGTAAGCTCAACATATCGTTGAGGAAATTGTCCCGAGGCTGATTATTGAAGATTTAAGCACCCGAGGACTTCAAGCAGTTGACAGTCTCATTTTCATTTCGCCAAGTCTCGCGACAATCTCGCAAGGGAATTTGGACACATGGATAGCTTTTATTTATGAGACGCGGTGATAAAAGGGAATTCTCTGGATACCGCATTCATGGCGTCTTGAGCGGTGTTTATGCCAGGAGGCGAAATCAGGTTTGGAGACTCAGAGCATGGTCTAGAGTTCATAATTATCATTATCCTTTTTCAAGGATAAACTAGGTGGTGTGATTATGACTCCGTGGTGCATTGTCTTATATTTCCATCACCTCATTTCCAATAAGCCTTTGCTTTAATACATTTCTGTATCACCTCCATGTCGGTAGTAAGCTCTGTTTTTTTTATGGCGATGAGTTCGTTCATGAACAACATATCGGAGTCGCGAATAACGTTATTTTATGGGTTGTAGTTCAATCATAAAAATGATTTCATTGGATTTATCAAAGAGGACAAGATCAGGTCTGTAGCCTGGATAGGTCTGAGGCTGTTTTCGGCCTATTTTCAAAGAATTTTGTATTGATCATTTTCCATGACGCCCTCTACATTTCTGGGTCGTACCATGGATGGACCCCTGTTTCAAAGACACAAACATAGCAGAGACGATGATAAAAAATTCAAGCCACTCCATCATGTCGCTTTAGATACTGCGTTTGTGCCAAAGCTGGGCATCAACTGACAATGTGTTGGACAGTCTTATTAAGCTCATTGCATAATCTACATTTCCATTACGCCCTCTACATATTCTGGGTCGTACCTTGGATGGATCTCTGTGTGAAAACCACAAGCATGACGAAGACGGTAATACAAATATTATCATCATTATTTTTTTGGAAAGATAATTAACTTACATTCTCGTCATCTTTAGTAAAGACCTTCTCGCTTCCTGTTTTGTTGAGGACCTGGGCCACACCCACAATCTCGTCATCTGCATTTTTGATTGGCTGACACAGCAAGGCTTCCGCCCTGTACCCAGTTATTCTTCCAATTTCATCGTTGTACCGAGGGTCCTGAAACAATATGTTCATCACAAATTAGAACCAAATATGAAAATTACATACATATACAAAAAACAACGTCTGATACCTGTTGAGTACGACACAGTCACCAATGTAAAAGCTCCTTGTAAGTTGTCAGTTAAATCGGGAACCTTATGACGCCAAGCAGTATCAAAAATTTAATTTGATTGTCAATGTGTTTTTATGATATAACTAGCTAATGCGTAAATCAAACACGTTAAAAGGCATTTTCTCCATAATTTCTGCATGTTCTTGTTCACATAATGAAGACATAGGTCTTTTTCTTTTTTTAATCAGTTTCTGTTCTTGTTTGTATATTTTACTTGTTGATTAACGCCGCGCTCAGCAATATTCCACTGATATCACGTCGGCCTGTAAATAATCGGTTGTCGAGCAGTCAACCCTGTGATTGACATTATGCGGAACGATCCACACCGTTGGGGTATGATAAAACAACCAAGTCACAAAGCCTTATCATCTTATCCATTTATTTACCTCTTAAGTGAGTGAGTGAGTGAGTTGGGTTTAACGCCGCTTTTAACAGTATTCCAGTTATATCACGGCGTGTCAGCTTAATGTGGGAGGAAAGCCCGAAGTGATGCAGGTCTCAGACGTTTACCACTTCGGTGAAATCCACGAGCACGGGTATGGTGCTGACAAACCTAGAAACATAATCGGGGCGAACCGGGATTCGAACCCACAATCATAGGTTTCTGGCGTGCCCAAGGGACGCAACTCTGCACAGCGAATCGCGGCGCCTTAGACGACTGGGCCACCCGTGCCCCCTGCCTCTTAAGACCTATTCTAACTCCAATTCCACTCTGGCTTATTCTGTATCGTTTGTATGTGTGTATATGAATGTGTATTTTGAAACCTTGTATGTTTTTCATCAATTTCATCTTAAAAGTATTTTGCCTAATTTCCATTTGAGTTGTTATTAACTTATTTGTCATTGGCCTTCAGTGTTCATATCATACGTTGTCCTCTTAAAGTTACTTAAAGCGCCGCAATTCGCTGAGAAGAGTTACGTCCCTTGGGCACGCCAGGAATCTGTGATTGTGAGTTCGAATCCTTGTTCGCCCCGATTATGTTCCAGGTTTGTGAGCTCCATACCCGTGCTCGTGGGTTTCACGAAAGTAGCAAACGTCTGTGGCCTGCATCACTTCGGGTTTTAATTCCACATTAAGCTTACACGTCGTGGTATAACTGGAATACTGTTAAAAGCGGCTTTCAACCCAATTCACTAACTTGAACACTGAAACTAAATTGAACTGAACAAATAAACTTAGCGTTTGTTTGTTTGTGTCACCAAAGGCTGAGAGCAGCTTCCCTCTTTGGTTCAAGTTCCTCGTTTCCCGAGATGTAGATTTATCATGCAAAACTGGCTCCCACAGGAGATATCGCTTGGGTGAGATCCAGCGATATCTACATTGTAGATATCACTGCAATGAAACTGCATCACAATGCTTTGCAGACCATTGTGACGTCATTGGTTACCATGACGTGACAATCAAATGACATCACTAATGGCTCTGCTACTGAAGCTGTTAGCAGTACTTTTTACACTTAAGACACTGCTTATTACTGTCTACAAACTGAAAAAATTGGAAGAATGACGTTGGATGATAAATAAAACCTCACCCTCGTGTCTTTTGGAATCAAATATATCAACACTCGTTGATAAAAGTGGAAATAATCCTCGGCAAGCCTCGGAGTTTTCCAACTTTTATCAACTCGTGTTGATATGTTTGATATCAAAAGACACGAGGGTGAGATTCTCTATGTCTTCTCTTATAATTTCAAATCAACATAAGGCTGTATTAATGTCAAGAATGAGATTGTTATGCCGAAGAACATCCTCGACCAAACTGTGTTGTATTGAACAAATAGATTAAAGAGTACCGCTCCGTTTATTACTTTGATTGGGAGTTGAATGAGTTTGGTTGCAATTGCACTCATTTTGTAAAACAATTTTCACGGCAAAGAGTTGTATTTCATCAGAGTTGGATGACACAGATCTTAATGTGTCCATATTACGATGTTACCTATTTCTGACAAACATTGGCTCGACAAACATTGGATCTCAAATATCATGAGGCAATTGTAGTCATGGGAGTAGACTAAAGAAACTTTTTTATGCTCCCGATAATGAAAATGTGGCTCATGCCAAATAGATATTGGCTTTTCAAAACTGCATTGCCTTCCGCATTCGTGATCTTTACATTAGGAGATGAGCGATCAATTTGCTTCACCATAAAACATGTAATAAGTATTCCCTTCAAGGCCTGTACTTGTGGCATATACATTACTGCCATCATGCTTACTGGGACTTAACACGCGAAATCCTCTATGCTTAGAATCATGTTTTCCAAAACAGTTACTTATACTTAAATCTTATGTCCTGTGTCTTATGTCTGTGACCAGCGTATATTGTGTGCAATTCCCTGTTTTGACTTGTATCACATGTTCTCGTATTTCTTCAGGTGAATAATTGCCTTGCCTTTGCATGTGTTCGTGACGGGTGCCACCGGTGGTCACCTTTTCGTGAACACCTGGTATATGATAGTCATTCATCATCATCATCATCATCATCATCATCATCATCATCATCATCATAATAATCAAATGATCATGATATAGTCATAATCGTACTATCGACCCTGCTTATAGCACAGATTTCGGGTGAATATGGAACGGGTTTTGTCGCTTTTATTCATACATTGATTTCATGCATTTTCCATATACATCCAGATAATATCGTTCCACAACAACTTTCCAAAACGTGGAGTATAATTCATTGTGTAATGTATTAATTTTCAATATATATACATGTACATAATCACCCAACGTAAGCTGAAAAAGGCATTTAGTCATAAAAGGTTATTGAAAATATACCCATGATCAAATCACATCGTCCTAAACTGTACATGTAGCTCTAATCGACCAGTATGTGATCGAAATAATAAATTACAGACTGACAAGGATATTGGATTTTTAATCGACTAATCATGTGTTTTTATTGATAGTTACTATGGCATCGTTTGCAATATATTAATGTATAAAAATGATTCTCAATCCGCTTCTTAAGGAAACACTTCCACGATAAGATACTAAATTGTCATACATACATGTATGTTATTATTCATTGTGTCATAATCTAATATATATGGTCAAGTGGGTAGTGTCTTTGTGCCGAGAGCGGAAGGCCTGTGGTTCGATTCATAGCCGCGTCATACCAATGGACGTTATAAATGGTAATTCCTGTTTGTCTGAGTAGGGTACCCATGATAAACGGTGACAAGGTATCTTAGTCGGCTGGCACTATTAAAACGGCATTAGTCCTGACTAGTACCAGCACACAGACACACAGTCACACACACACACACACACACACACACACACACACACACACACACACACACACACACACACACACACACACACACACACAGACACACACACACACACACACACACACACACACACACAGAGACAGACAGACAGACAGACAGACACACACACACACACACACACACACACACAGAGAAACAGATGCATGTTCATCGCACTGTAAGTGCAAGTATCTTGAAAGCGACGTTGAACACCATTTCACCCCACCTCAACCACAACGCATTCTGAAAAGGCATATATCCTTACAGTGTCACAGAAAATATACATACTTTCGTGCACATCACCGCTAAAATCGACCAGAACTAGATCGAGTTAGCAAATTACAGACTAAAAAGGATACGTGATTGTCATCCGACTAATATGTTCTAATTGGTAGTTTCCGCAGAATCATTTGCAATATGTTCATGTATCAAGTGCATAAATTTAAGTCATTATCGCCTTCCAAACTCTGGACAACATGTGTCTTATGAGTGAGTGGGTGAGTTGAATTTAACTGTTGGATTTCTGAACACAAATTCAGGTAGGTAATAGTTTGTCAACTAAACGTGTCAGGAAAGCCCGAAGGGTTGCAGGTCTTAGAACTTCCGACCGTAGTGAAATCCAAGAGTACGGATTTCGTGCTGACAAACCGACAATTAGGGAACATTTGGAATTTGAATCAGCAGTTATCGGATCATGATTTGTCCGAAGAACACAGCTGTTGTACAGCGAGATTTGGTATTCCTTAGGGGACTGGATCACCCGCTCTCCGACACATCTGTGTTAAATCGTTGGTGGTCGACATTTACAATTAGTGTGTCTTAAAGACTTAGGGGACTTGGAGATTACGTAGATTCAACGTAACCTTTGTTGCCGTTGGGGAGATTGCAATATATAGCAATGGCTAAGCGTCCCATGTTTATAATGGCAGTTACACCATCTTTGGTATTTCTTTAGAACGAGTTTGTGTAATACTGAAGGTCGTGATGTCAGTATATTTTGTGAATACGAAGACGCACAGACAAGATGTTTTTTTTCTATTTATGTTTTAATCGATATATATCCATCTAAACTTGATAAGAGGTTCATGCAAAACAAAATGTCGATCTTGCAGTCTCTTTTGGGGTTTTAGATGAGTCGCTTTCAATTGTCTAGGGCAGGTGGGTAACTCAGTGGACGGTTGGTTATTGGTTATTTCACCACGATATCATATCATTGATATACCTGAAGTTTAAGATAAACTTTTTGGACCAATTCTATTCTCTTGATTTTGCCAATCCAAGCAGAAATTCATTTGCGTAAAGGAACAGATCGGCAAGGAGGGGAACACATTTGATATCCATATACGGATGATTACTTCTTGCCTAAATGTCTTGTATATTATACATCCAGATTTCATATAAATGTTTGTTATCTATAAGTAAGACCAACATATCACGTATTGGTTTCTCAGTACAAATTTGCATACATTTTTGACAACTTATCCTGTACCTTTGACGATAGAGATGCAACTTTGTCCGGGGTAGAATAGGTCTCCAGCATCCCATGCTTGCCGTAAAAGGTCACTATTCTTTGCATAAGAGGCGACTAACGGGATCGGC